ATACTTGAATTCGTCTAACTAACTGCAAATAAACATAATCAAATATTTGATAAATATCTCATTTTAAATATAAAAAATCTAAAATATAATTATGATAATCATTGATAACTAACAGAATTTAATTAAGAAAATTACACTAAAATACAATAACTTTTAAAAAGATTAATTTAATACTGATATCGATATTTTTTTTCAAAAATTAGTGATATTTTTAAATTTATATTTTATTCAAAAATAAAAATATTACCACATTCTCAAAACCACATAAAACCAACGTTTACTTAAAATTCAAAATTACAAATAAATTATGCAAAAGTACAAGTAAATTATGCAAAAGTACAATTTATCAAAGCTTGATTTTTGAATTCGTATAACTAATTGCGGATAAATATAATCAAATAGAGAATAAATATATTATTTTAAAATATAAAAAATCTAAAATATAATTAGGATAATTATCGAGTTCTAATAAAATAATTAATTATTATCTTTATAAGAAAATTATATTATTAAACCAAATATAAATTACTTCGTTTTTGTACCTAAATTAAATTATAATAAAAATTTGAATTAAAAAATTATACAAAAAAATGAGGAATTTCAAATAGTTAATTTGATACTAATATCGATTTATTTTTGTCAAATTTTTATGATATCTTCAAACATATATTTTATTCAAAAATAAAAATATCAACGCTTTCTGAAAATTACATAAAGTCATATTATAACATCGACTGAGATAAAGAATAAAATAAAATATTAAAATCACGATATATCTCGCTGCATTGCGCGAGTACGCTTCTAATATATATATATATATATATATATATATATATATATATATGAACACATTGTATACACATATTAAATAAAATAAAAAATTAATCAAGATCGTATTACGGGTGTGTAATGCCTCCCTTACCCCGTCCCAACCCCGATTCAAGCATGAAAATAAATCTTTGTCCGCGTCCCATTATCCATAAATTGGGGAATCCTTGCCCCCGTACCCGCCCTAACGGGTAAAATTCCATCTCTACTCAGTGGTGAAGAACAATCACAAAAAATTAAAAATTCTCGGTCTCTTTACATGTGAATCATTAATTTCTAGAAAAATCTCTAAAACCCCAAGTCGTGTTATCAATAAACTTAATCCTACAAAATTTCATTGGTTGTGTTTTTTACTCATTTCAATGTTTTGTTGGTTAAAATATTAATATTTAATTTAATACAATATTTTAAATTTTTATCTATACTATCTTATAAAGTATTTGGCTAAAATTCTTAAAAACTCTTAAAACTCTAAAAAACTCTTAAAACTCTTAAACCCGTTCATTCCTATCCGATTTCATCACATATCTGAATTCTTGTAACTAACTGCAGATAAACACAATCAAATACAGGATAAAAATCTCATTTTTAAATATAAAAAATCTAATATATAATTAGTATAATCATTAAATTCTAACAGAATACTTAATTATTATCTTTATAAAATTTATAATATTAAACCAAAAATAAATTGTATATAAAAAAAATATTCTAAATTATAAATTATTTGACAAAAACTCTTAAAAACCACTTTCTATGCGTAAAGTACTGTTTATTAATGTATATTACTTAAAACTCAATATTACAAATAATTGTGCATAGGTACAACTTATTAAAGCTCCATATATGAATTCGTGTAACTAACTGCAGATAAATACAATCAAATACAGGATAAATATCTCATTTTAAATATAAAAGATCTAAAATATAATTAGGATAATCATTGATTTCTAACAGAATACTTAATTATTATCTTTATAAAATGTTATATTATTAAACCAAAAATAAATTATTTCATTATTAAACTTAAATTAAATTAAAAAAAAATCTATACTATATTATAAAACATTTGACAAAAACATTTAAAAACTACTTTTTATGCGTAAAATACTGTTTATTAATGCATATTACTTAAAATTCAAGATTACAAGTAGATTGTGCGTAAGTACAACTTATTAAAGCTCCATATCTAAATTTGTGTAACTAATTGCAAATAAACATAATCAAATACAAGATAAAAATCTTATTTAAAATATAAAAAATCTAAAATGTAATTAGGATAATCATTGAGTTCTAACAGAATACTTAATTATTATCTT